TTTTTTTTTTTTTTTTTTTTTTTTTTTTTTTTTTTTTTTTTTTTTTTTTTTTTTTTTTTTTTTTATAGAGAAATTTTGGCGAGAAAATGTAATGATATTTGAAAAAGATGAATTTATAACAATTCAGAAGATTGAGAAACTTTTAGATTGCGAGGATCCAACAACACAGGCAATTGCATGTTATGATTTAGGGGAATTTGCAAGACTGCATCCTGCAGGAAAAAAGTATATTTATTTATATTAATTATTATATAATTTACACTCATTTATATTTATTTATTATTATTTACCCTTTTTTATTCTATTTTTATATTCATTCATGGGAATATTTAGGTATTTAGCTCTTGGGGTAGATAGGGTTATATCTAGGAAACATTCAACCCTTTGATGCTATATATGAGAACATGGAAACCCTAAACCCTAAACCCTAAACCCTAAACCCTTATTTTGTTTGTTTGTTTGTTGTTTTTATTAGGGTTTGTCAAAAGTTTAAAGTTAAGGATAAAGTTATGCTGCTAATTAGCAGCAAACATCGAGAAGTTGCTGCGGAGGCTCTTCTTTGTGTACAAAAATTAATGCTAAATAATTGGCAAGATGTAGCTAATCCTAATCCTCCTAAATAAAATAAATAAATAAATAAATAAATATATTATTTATTTATTTATTTATTTATTTATTTATTTATTATTTAAATATATATAAGAAAAAGAAATAATAATTCATGTTTATTTATTTATTCCTTCCGCTCTGCTGCTATAAACTACGCAGCAATAATAATATATTATTATATTTATATAATAATATAATAATATATTATTATATTATAATATATTATATATATAATTGTAATATATATATAATATATTATATAATACAATTATATTATTATATTATACACATTTACGTTGTTTGCTGCTGCTGCTCCTCTCCTTTAATATTAATAAAAAAATTTTCCTCTCTTGCGTATCAACTTGAATTTTGTTCCTTTTAATCAATAAAAAGAAATAAAAAATATTTTATTAATAATCTATTCTTATTTAGTTCTTCCTTTAGACATTTTGCAAATA